TGGTTTGGTGGAGATGTATTGTTTAAATTTTTCTTTGCTATGGAAGGTTTTTATTTGGCCTTCAGTTATGACGGAGAGTTTAGCTGGGTACAGTATTCTTGGTTGATAGTTGTTTGGTTTTAGGGCATGGCATACATCATTCCAGGCTCTTCTTGCTTTGATTGTCTCTGCTGAAAAATCTGAGTTGATTCTAATTGGTTTCCCTTTATAGGCGATTAATCTTCTCCTTGACAGCTTTAAGGATCTTTTCCTTGGTCTGAATTGATCCTGTGTGGATTATAATGTGGCGGTGGGATGTCCTATTCTGGTCTGGTCTATTTGGAGTTCTAAAAGCTTCTTGTATTTGAATAGGCCTATCTTTTCGCATGTTTGGGAAGTTCTCTGCTAGGATCCTGTTATACAAATTTCCTAGAGGATTAACTTCTGTTTCTAGGTGCTCCTCTACACCCATTATCCTTAGATTAGGCTTTCTGATGGTGTCTTCCAAGTGTTGGATAGATCTCTCATATTTCTTGGATTTGTCTTGGATTGTTGTATGTTCTTTCTCTATAATGTCTAGGCTGTCTTCAATCCCCGAGATTCGATCTTCTGCATGATCTAACCTGCTGTCGAGATTTTCTACTTTGTTTTTTATTTCTTTTCCTTCTAGTTGGTCAGCTTTGATGGCTTCAAATTCTTTGTTGAAGCTTTGTTTTAAATCTTGTATGAACTTCTTTACTTCTTTATTTTGGTGTTCAGTGTTTATTCTCAAATCACTTAGTTGATTGGTTCTGGTTTCCTTGGACTCCCATTCCTTCTGTTGGTTTCCATTCAGCATTTCCTTTGTGGTCTCCCTGACTTCCTTTGGCTCTTTGTTAATGGATTCCATGAATGCCTTTAGTGATCTTTGTGTATTTTCATCCTGCTCTCTCAATTCCTGTATTACTCTTTGATTAGCTTCCTCCCGATTGTGAGATTCCTGTAGTTCTCTTTTGTGTTCTCAGCCTTCTCAAGCCATTCCTGCCTTTTCTTTGAGTATTCTCAAGCTGCTCAAGCAAATCCTGTATCAGTTTTTAAGTAGCTTCCTCATGCTTATGATATTCCTATATAAACTTTTGGATTGCCTCCTCTCTCTCCCTATCATGCTCATACAGAGTCCTTTGTATGTTTTCAATCTTTTCATTTATTATGTTTGCTAGCATGTTTGTAGAGCTATTTGGGAACTCTCCTCTGGATTATTCATTATCTATTCTATCCACTGGTTATCATGAGTGGGAGTTGAGATACCCGGACTTGCCATTTTTCTTGTGTTTTTCCGGCTTACTCTGCCCATTTAGGATGAAATTAACACCAGTTTTATGCTAGAACACTATCTTTTTTTTTTTTTTTTTAATTTAATTTAATTTTATTTGTGAACATACTGTACAGAGGAGTTACAGTTACATGGGCAGGATAATGTGTACATTTCTTACCAAGCATTGCAGCCTCCTCCTTTGTTTATCCTTCACATCCCTTCCCAGCCTCCCCCCTCCCCCCCTAATCCCAATCCTTCTCCTTCCTCCCTCCCCCCAGCTCCCCCCCCACCAACATTGTAAAGTTCGTTTTGGACATGACAACTTGTACTTCTCATTGTTGCAACAGGTCCACCTGTATCCTTAAACAACTGGTTTTTCCCCATCTCCTCCACAAGTTATACTGACATCAAATATAGTGAAAGCAAGGGTTATACTGTGGGGGAGGGACATACAAAGCAACAAAGAGATAATCTTATAAATGTGTTAGAAACACATGCATGAAAGAAAAAAACATTAAAATACACATCTAAGGGTTCATTTTCCTGACATCACATTATCTGACCTTTTCCGCTTGACTCATACATATACTAGATATTACAAATAAGGGAAACCATGGGACCTACGTTTCTTTGGGCCTGGCTTACTTCACTTAATATAATTTTTTCCAAGTTTTTCCATTTCCTAACAAATGGGGCAATGTCATTCTTTCTGATGGAGGCATAGAATTCCATTGTGTATATATACCACATTTTCTTGATCCATTCATCTACTGAGGGGCATCTGGGTTGGTTCCATATCTTAGCTATGGTAAATAATGCTGCAATAAACATAGTTGTGCTGGTAGCTTTAGTGTGGTCTTGTTTGTAAACATTAGGGTAAATGCCCAAAAGTGGGATTGCTGGGTCATAGGGGAGCTCTATGTGGAGTCTTTTGAGGAACCTCCATACTGCTTTCCAAAGTGGTTGAACAAGTTTACATTCCCACCAACAATGAATTAAGGTTCCTTTCTGTCCACATCCCCTCCAGCATCTGTTGTTGTTAGAGTTCTTGATTTTTGCCGTTCTCACTGGAGTGAGGTGATATCTCAATGTTGTTTTGATTTGCATTTCTTTTATGGCTAGGGATGTTGAACATTTCTTCATGTGTCTATTGGCCATCCTTCTTTCTTCTTCAGAGAAGTTTCTCTTTAAGTCTTTCGCCCACTTATTTATTGGGCAGTTGTTTCTTTGAGGATTTGTTGTTGGGGGGTTTAATTTTTTGAGTTCCAAGTATATTTTAGATATGAGACCCTTGTCCGTTGTATGGCTAGTAAAGATCTTCTCCCAATCCGTGGGCTTTCTATTGATCTTGCTAGCTATGTCATTTGCCCTGCAGAAGCTCTGCAACTTTATGCAATCCCATTTGTCCAACCTTTCTTTGATTTGTTGTGTTTCCAGGTCTCTATTCAGAAAATTTCGGCCTGAGCCAAGGAGACCTAGGGTTTCTCCTATTCCATCCTGTAATGTTTTCAGAGTGTCTGCTTTGAGTTCAAGGTCTTTGATCCATTTGGAGTTGATTCTGGTGCAGGGTGATATATAAGGATCTAGCTTAAGTTTTCTACATGTAGTTAACCAATTTTGCCAGCACCATTTACTGAAGAGGTTGTCTTTCTTCCATTCTATTGTTTTAGCTCCCTTATCGAAGATTAGATGGCTATAGGTCTGTGGGTTCATTTCTGGGTTTTCAATTCTATTCCATTGGTCCTGAGGTCTGTTCTTATGCCAATACCAAGCTGTTTTGATTACTATGGCTTTATAGTAGAGTTTGAAGTTTGGTATTGATATTCCTCCAGCAGTGTTCTTTCCATTCAGGAGCGTTTTTGCTATTCGGGGTCTTTTATTGTTCCATATGAATTTTTGGATTGCCTCTTCTATTTCCTTGAAGAATGAGGGTGGAATTTTGATAGGTATTGCGTTGAATTTGTAGATAGCCTTGGGAAGTATTGCCATTTTCACGATGTTAATCTTTCCAATCCAGGAGCTTGGGAGGTTTTGCCATTTTTTAAGTTCTGTGTTGATTTCCTTTTTCAAGATTTTAAAGTTTTCATCATAGAGGTCCTTCACTTCTTTAGTTAAGTTAATTCCTAGGTATTTTATTTTTTGTGGGGCTATTACAAATGGAGTTGCTTTCCTAATTTCAGCCACACTTTTCTCATTGTTGGCATACAGAAAAGCCATTGATTTTAGAACACTATCTTAAGGCAAGCATCAACCAAAGTCTGTATTTGCACAGTCAATAGTCTGCAGATACAATCTAGTTCAACAGATACATCTATTCACCATCAAACAACTATATATTAATGGGCTATGAACCGCAAAGAAGAATTTGGTAAATCAGAAATTATTAGGTTTAGTTAGAAATGTGGGTAAAAAATAGGAATAGAGTGATGTGGGAAGGCACAGGGAGTGTTAACTAAATCCTAATCTCAAAGCAGGAAATAGGTTGGATAGGATGAAAGTAGACAGAGACAAAAAAAAGAAGAAAGAGAAAGGGAACAAAAGGAGACCAGAAAAAATAGAAAGGTAAAAATTAGAAATATTATACATGGTCTAAAACAAATTTTTCAGAGAAGAACATGAATATAATGAGAGAAGGGGAGGGATATAATGGAGATGTGAAAAACTTGAAAATAAAAATACTTAAAATATTATATAGGTATAAAGAGGTAGTACTGTTATTAAGGAATTTAAGTCTAAGAGGTTTTGAATTGAGTAATAAATGTGTGGATTAAGTGTGTACACAATGGGGGATAAGGTCTAATAATCAACTACGGGTTTATCTGAGGATGAGCAGAACAGCAATTAAGTCACATAAAGAACAAAATAGAAGAACAGGTGAAAAAGATAAGAAAGAAAGAAAAAAAGATCAGAAGTTCAGTAGAGCTAAACAAAAAACAAAACAAAACAAAAACAAAAACAAAAAAGGGAAGAAAAACGCACACACAGTTATACCCCTAAAATAAAATTCTAAGAGGAAAAAAAAATTACTAGAAAACAATTTTTTTTCAAAAAGGTAAAAATTAAAAAGTTTTTTGATTTTTTTGGGAGGGGTGGGAAAAATCCTGTGTCTCCCTTGTGTCGGTAACCAGCCTCTTGTTGGAGTCTCTGGTCTGCTTGTGTTCCTGTGGCTTGGTTGGTTACTTAGGTCAGTTTCTTTGAACAGGCAGAAAAATCCTCTGCGATCCTCCTCCCAGGTTATTTCAATGGGAGGAGATGGCTTTTTCCTCGAGTTTGGAGATGCTGTGATGAGGCTAGGTTCTGGGTAGAGTTGAGGCCTTTCAGCAAACAGTAGCTTTTCCCCGGGGGCTGGTTTGTGAGAAACTCACAGAGCCCAGCCTGGAGCCACTCTCAGGGTTTCTGTTTACTGAATTACAGTTGATTGTCCAGGCTGCTAAAGGGAGGGGCAGCCTCTGGCTCTGATTACCCGGTGAAGAAAGCCACTTCTGGGGCTGGCGCCCAAGCTGGGTGACTTTTCTTTGGGTGGAGCTGAGTCTGGCAGGTCAGGTTAGGCTCTTGTCACCTGCTAGATGACTCTAGATTTATTCCAGGGTCTAAGTTGGAGCTAGCAGCTGCCCCGAGCTTTGTCGGTATCTAAGATGGAGATCTCCAGTACTGGGGGTGGTGTTGAGTGGAATCCGCTTGCCCGCCGCGTCTGGCTCCTTCGTCCCAGACTCTCTGTCATTCAGGTATGGCGGCTGTAGTCGCCACCGCCACTGCTACTGCTGCCGCGGCAGCTGCTGGCAAGTGCTCAGGGAATGTCTCCTTGCCTGTATTTTCTCTCTCTGGTCTAACTCTCTGTCCTGTGAAGGCACACTCGGTGTGATTCTCTGACATAGGACTGTTCACTGGAACTCTAAAACTGCTTTCTATGCAAGAGCTTGTTTAGCCTCCAGCTTCTCCTCTGCCATCTTCCCAGAACTCTAGTATTGCCATTTTTAAGATGTTGATCCTTCCAATCCAGGAGTATGGAAGTTTTTGCCACTTTCAAAGTTCTGTTTTGATTTCCTTTTTTAGGTTTTTAAAGTTTTCACCAGAGAGGTCCTTCACTTCTTTGGTTAAGTTAATTCCCAGGTATTTTATTTTTTGTGGGGCTATTACGAATGGAGTTGTTTTTCTAATTTCATCCATGCTTTTCTCATTGTTGGCATACAAAAAAGCCACTGATTTTTGAGGTTTAATTTTATAACCTGCTACTTTGCCAAAGTTTTGAATCAGCTTGAGTAATTTGGGAGTGGAGTCCGTGGGATTCTTTAAATACAAGATCATGTCATGTGCAAAGAGGGAGAATTTTATTTCATCTTTCCCTATTTCGATCCCCTTTATGTTTGCATCTTGTCTTGTTGCTGTAGAGAGGCATTCTAATACTAGACTGAAGGGACGTAGAGAGAGTGGACATCTTTGTCTTATTCCTGAGTTAAGAGGAAATGGCTTTAGTTATTCACCATTAAGTATAATGCTGGCTGTAGGTTTGTCATATACAGCCTTTATTGTATTGAGGAATGTTCCATGGATTCCTAATTTTTCCAGAACTTTCATCATAAAGGGATGTTGGATCTTGTCAAATGAATTTTTTGCATCTATTGAGATAACCATGTGGTTCTTATCCTTGTTCTTGTTGATGTGATGAATTATATTAATTGATTTGCGTATATTGAAACAGCTTTGCATCTCTGAAATGAATCCTGTTTGATCATAGTGTATGATTTTTTTGGATGAATTGTTGAAGTTGATTGGCCAAAATTTTGTTGGAAGTTTTGCATCAATGTTCATCAAAGAAATGGGTCTATAGTTCTTTTTCTTTGATGAGTTCTAGCCTGTTTTGGGATTTGGGTTATGATGGCTCATAGAAAGAGTTCAGTAGTGAACTTTCTCTTTCAATTTCTTTGAAGAGTTGGAGGAGCGTTGGTGTGAGCTCTGCTTTGAAGTCCTTGTAGAATTCCACTGTCAATCCATCTGGTCCTGTTCTCTTCTTAGATGGGAGATATCTTATTGCTGTTTCTATTTCAATGCTTGATATGGGCCTGTTAAGATGGTTTAACTCATCTTGGTTTATTTTTGGCATGTCGATATTCCCAAGGAAAATGTCCATTTCTGCTAAGTTCTCAAACTTATTAGCATAAAGTTTTGAGAAGTAATCCCTTATAGTGTTCTGAATTTTGGTTTTTTCCTGTGGTGATATTTCCATTCTAATCTCTGAGTTTATTTATTTGTGTGTGTTCTCTTCTTTTTCTGATTAGATTTGCTAAGCGTCTGTCAATTTTGTTAATTGTTTTGAAGAACCAACTCTTTGTTTTCTTGATTATTTCTATTTTTTTTTTGGATTCTAATTCATTTAATTCTGATTTAATTTTAATTATTTCTTTCTGTCTACTGGATTGGGGTTTTTCTTGCTGCTCTTTTTCAAGGAGGCTCAGATATCTCATTAAATTGTTGGTTTCAGATCTCTCCAATTTGTTGATATAGGAACTCAGAGCTATAAACTTGCCCCTGAGTACTGCCTTAGCTGTGTCCCAGAGGAGCTGGTTATTTGTGTGCTCATTTTTGTTGACTATCATGAACATTTGAATTTCCTTTCTAATTTCTTCCATGACCTACTGGTGGTTCACCAGTGTATTGTTCAGCCTCCATGTGTTACAGGAATTTCTTTGATGGCTTTTGGTGTTGAGTTCTAATTTTATTCCCTTGTGGTCCAAGAGAATGCAATGTATTTGGATAACTTTGCTTTGTGACCTAAAATGTGTCTATTTTGTAAAATGTTCTATGTGCTATGTTCTATGTATTCTGATGCTGCTGGGTGAAATATTAGGTAGATGTTTGTTAAATCTAGTTGATCTATGCCGTTTTTTAGATGTGGGGTTTCTCTGTTGAGTTTTTGCTGAGTTGATCTATCTAGTGGGGATAATGGTGTGTTAAAGTCCCCAACAATTAAAGTCTTTGGATCTATGTGAGATTTGAGGGAAGTGTTTCTTGGATAAATTTGGGTGCTCCCTTTTTTGGCAAATAGATATTAAGAATTATAATATCTTCCTGAAGGAGAGATCCCATAATTAGAACGTAGCAACCTTCTTTATCTCTTCTCAATAATTTTAATTTAAAGTCTATTTTATCTGATATTAGAATTGCACCTCCTGTCTGTTTATGGGGGCCGTTTGCTCGGTAGATTTTGTTACAGCCTTTCTCTTTCAAAATGTGTTTGCTTTTATGGGCAACTTGTAACTCCTTACGCAGCAGATAGAAGGATCTTGTTTTTTAATCCAACTAGACAGTCTATTTCGCTTAATTGGTGAGTTAAGTCCATTAATGTTGAGAGATAGGACTTGAGGTATTTGGGCGTTACTGTCATTTTATCCACCTTCTTGGGGGTTGCAACAACTGGGTTCCTCCTATGGTTCTTGAATTTTCAGTTTGGGTGCGGTTTCTTGGCCTTTATTGTAGTCTTGTTAGTTTTCTATGTGTAGGACATCTTTAAGGATCTTTTGTAGGGCTGGTTTGGTGAAGATATATTGTTTCAGTTTTTCTTTGCTATGGAAGGTTTTTATTTGACCTTCGGTTATGAAGGAGAGTTTAGCTGGGTACAGTATTCTTGGTTGGTAGTTGTTTGTCCTTAGGGCATGGCATACATCATTTCAGGCTCTTCTTGGTTTGATTGTCTCTGCTGAGAAATATGAAGTGATTCTAATTGGTTTCCCTTCATAGGTGATTGATCTTTTCTCCTTGACATCTTTAAGGATCTTTTCTTTGGTCTGAATTGATCCTGTGCGGATTATAATGTGATGGTGGGATGTCCTGTTCTGGTCTGGTCTATTTGGAGTTCTAAAAGCTTCTTGTATATGAGTAGGCCTATCTTGTTGCATGTTTGGGAAGTTCTCTGCTAGAATCCTGTTAAACAACTTTCCTAGACCATTAACTTCTGTCTCTAGGTACTCCTCTACACCCACTTTCCTCAGATTAGGCCTTCTGATGGTGTTTTCCAAATGTTGAATAAATCTATCATATTTCTTAGAATTTATTGGAAAGCTCTATGTTCTTTCTCTATAATATCTAGGCTGTCTTCAGTCCCCTAGATTTGATCTTCTGCATGGACTATCCTAGTGTCAAGACTTTCTACTTTGTTTTTTATTTCTTTTCCTTATAATTGGTCAGCTTTAATGACTTCAAATTCTTTGTTGGAACTCTCTTTTAGATCTTATATTAACTTCTAAACTTCCTTAATTTGGTGTTCAGTGTTTCTTCTCAAATCACTTAGTTGATTGGTTATATTTCCTTGGACTGCCATTCCTTCTGTTGGGCTCCATCAGCATTCCCTTTGTAATCTCCCTAATTTCTTTCAGGTGTCTGTTTAAGGATTCCTTGTATGCCTCTATTGATCTTTGCCTATTTCCATCCCTCTCTCGCAATTCCTGTATTACTCTTTGATTAGCTTCATCACGTTCATGCAATTCCTGTAGTTCTCTTTGAGTGTTCTCAGCCTGCTCACACCGTTCCTGACTTTCACTTTGTCTTTTCTCAGCCAACTCATGCAATTCCTGTCTATCTCTTTGACTGTTCTCTGCCTGCTCATGCAATTCTTTTATTTCTCTTTGAGTGTTCTCAACCTGCTCATGCAATTTCTGTGTCAAACTTTGAGTAGATTCTTCATGCTCATGAACTTCCTGTATTAATCTTTGCTTTGCATCCTTTCTCTCCCTATCATACTCCCACTGAGTCCTTTGCTGGTTTTCACTCTTTTCATTCACCATGTTTACCTGTAGTGTTTGTAGTGCTCCTCTGGATTATTCATTAACTGTTCTGTCCCCTTATTATCATGAGTGGGAGTTGAGATACCTGGACTTGCCATTTTTCTTGTGGTTTTTTCTGGCTTGTTCTGCCCATTTGCTATGAAAGTAACACCAGTTTTGTGCTAGAACACCATTTTAAGCAAGCATCAACCAAATCCTGTAATTACATACTCAAAAGTCTGCAGATACAATCTAGTTCCACAGATACAGTCTATTCACCATCAAACAACTATGTATTAATGAGCTAAGAACAGCAAAGTAAAATTTGGCAAACCAGAAATTATTAGGTTTAGAGAGAAATGTGGGGGAAAATAGAGTTAGAGGGATGTGCAAAGGTAAAAGGAGAGTGAAATTAGCCAAGTCCTAATCTCAAAGAGGCAAATGGATAGGACAGAATGATAGGAGAAATAGAAGAAAAAAAAAAGAAAAAAATAGACAAGAAAAAAATGGAAAAACAAAAAATTAAATTTAAAAAGTGAAACACTTAAAAATTATGCACATTTAAGAAAGTAATATTGAGAGAAGAATGGGGATAGGATTAGAGAAGGGGAGGGATAGAAAGGAGACATGAAAAACTAAAAAATAAAATACTTAATAAATTGTATAGGTATAAAGAAAGCATACTGCTATTTAGTAATTTAAGCCTAAGAGGTTTTGAATTGAGTAACAAATTTCTGGATTAAGTGTGTACCCAATGGAGGATAAGGTCTAATAATCGATGACGAGTATATCTAAGGATGAGCAGAAAAGCAATTAAATCATGCAAAAAAGAGCGAAAGAGATGAAAAAGTAAAAAGAACGAGAAAGAAAGAGAAAAAAAGGACCAAAGGGTCAGTAGATATTTTTTTAAAAAGTGCACACACATATATACACCTAAAATAAAAATAAGAGGAAGAAAAGGAAAAAAAAGTTAATCAAAAACTATTTAAAAAAACTTAAAAATTAAAAAAAGATGCAAAAATAGAGTTCTTTTTTTTTTTTTCTTTTTGGTGGGGGTGGATGTGAAGATCCTGTATCACCAGCCTCTTGGTGGAGTCTCTGGTCTGCTTGTGGTATTTGGTTTTCCTGTGGCTTGATTGGTTAATGAAGTCCGTTTGTTTGGGCTGGCAGAAAAAATGCTCTGTTTTACCCAGGATTTACCCCAGGCTAGTTCAATGGGAGGGAGTTCTGCTTTGAGTTTCACAAAAGAGGGAGATAGCTGTTCCGTCTAGTTTGGAGATGCTGTGATGAGGATAGGTTCTGGGTAGAGTTGAAGCCTTTCAGCAAACAGTAGCTTTTCCCTGAGGGGCTAGCTTCTGAGACACTCACAGAACCCAACCTGGAGCCATTCTCAGGGTTTATGTTTACTGAATTTCAATTGATTGTTTAGGCTGCTGTAGGGAGGGGTAGCCTCTGGCTCTTTTTACCCAGTGAGGAAAGCCACTTCTCTGGGGGTGGAGTTGTCTCTGCCTGGGCTGGGTGACTTTCCCCTGAGTGGAGTTAGGCCTGGCAGGGCAGGGCAGGTTCCTTTGATGTGCTAAATGACTCTTTTGTTTTTTCTGAAGGCCGGAGTTGGAGCTAGCTGCTCAGCCCAACCTTTGCCAGTATCAAAGATTGAGATACCTGGTAGTGGGTGGGGGAGGGGTGGACTTCCCTCCTCTGCTCCCTGAGAAGGAGTGAGGATGTCAGGGTTCTACTCATGCAGAAGTGTTGGTTCCTGGGTTGTCTCTGGTTTTCGATCTGCAGGATGACGATATCTGCTCCTTGTCAGTTCTTGTTGGTGTTGAGTAGAATCTGCTCACCTGCTGCATCTGGCTTCTTTGTCCCGGCCTCTCTGTGTTGTAGGTATGGTGGCTAGGATTGCTACCGCAACCACTGCAAGTGCAACTGTGGCGGCTAGCAAGTGCTCAGATATGTCTCCTTGCCTGTATTTTCCCTCTCTGGCCTAACTCTGTACTGTGATGGCACACTTGGTGTAATTCTCTGGCTTAAGACTGTTCACTAATCAAAATTTTCGTTTAATACTTTAAGGTAGGGCTGGGAAGGTGGCTCAGTGGTAGAGTGCTTGCCTTGCATGCATAAGGCCCTGGGTTTGATTCCTCAGCACCACATAAGCAAAAAGAAAAAAGCCGGAAGTGGCGCTGTGGCTCAAGTGGTAGAGCGCTAGTCTTGAGCTGAAGAGCTGAGGGACAGCGCCCAGGCCCAGAGTTCAGGCCCCACGACCAGACCCCCCCCAAAAAAATACTTTAAGGTAAAATATTAAAGACATACAAATGACGATTGCAACTGCATTGTTGTCTTCCCATCATATATTATAATTTTACACTGTTCTATTGTAAATACTAGATAATTTTTCCAACTTCATAAGAATTATATGGTTTTTCTAGCCCACTTACAATGCTAGAACATTTTCAGCTCGCTTGTGTACTCACTTTTACCAGTAATTTTGATACAATTTTCAAATTTTATTTTTTTTAGATTGTTGCACCATTTTGTTGAAGAGACTATTTTTCTGTCTATCTTTATTTTAGCTCCTTTATCAAATTTAAATGCTGATAGTTCCCTGAGTTCAATTCCAGGTCTTCTAATCTGTTGCATGGGTCATCAGACCTATTTTGTGCTGCCACTAAGCTGTTTTCATTACCATGGTTCTGTAATTGAGTTTGAAATTTGGTATTGTTATTCCTCTTACAATGTTCCACTTTCTAAGACTTGCCTTGCAATCCAGGGTCTTCTGTTATTTGAATTTTTTGGCTGCTCTTTCCATATCTTTAAACAAATTTGTTGGGATTTTAATGGATATTGCATTGAATTTGTAATTTGCTTTGGGCAGTATTGTCATTTTCACAATGTTAAGTCTTCCAATCCAGGGGCTCAGATTATCTTTCCATCCTCCTAAGACTTCTTCAATTTTGCTTTTGAAAATTTAAAACTTTTCACTATAGAGTTCCTTCACCTCTTTGGTTAACTCCTATGTATTTTGTATTTTTTAATGCTATTTTAAATGGAGTTTCTTTTCTGATTTCAGCCTTGATCTTCTTGATCATGGCATAAAAATATTAATTTTTTGGGTTGATTTTATACCTGTCTATTTTAACCAAGTTTTGCATCATCTTCTTAAGCTGTGGAAGGAGATTTTGGGGTTCCTCAACTACAGGATTATGTCATCTGTAGAAAGTGATAGTTTTACTCCTTCTTTCCATATTTGGATTCTCTGTATGGTTTTCTCTTGCCTATTTCGCTTGCTAGGAATTCCAGTACTATGTTGAAGAGAAAAGAGAGAGTATATCCTTCTATTATTTCTGGTATTAGGAGAAATGCCTTTAGTTTTTTCACCTTTAAGTGTAAAACTGACTGTAGATTTCTCATACATACCCTTTCTTATACTGAGGAATGGTCCATGGATTCTAGCTTCTCCAGAGGTAGATAATGTGTTGGATTTTTTCAAAGGCTTTATCTGCATCTAATTAGATACTTATGTGGTTGTTGTCCTTGCTTCAGTTGATCTGTGGTAGTATGTGAATTAATTTATATTTGTTTTTCTTTTTTTTTTTTTTTTTTGGGGGGGGGGGGGTCCGGTCGTGGGCCTGAACTCTGGGCCTGGATGCTGTCCCTCAGCTCTTCAGCTCAAGGCTAGCGCTCTACCACTTGAGCCAGAGCGCCACTTCCGGCTTTTTTCTTTTTGCTTATGTGGTGCTAAGGAATCGAACCCAGGGCCTCGTGCATGCAAGGCAAGCGCTCTACCACTGAGCCACCTTCCCAGCCCCTAATTTATATTTGTTAATCTAGCTTTGCATCCCTGAGATAAATCCCATTCAGTCAGCCTGTATGATCTTCTTGATCATTTTCTAAATTTTATGGAGGAGCGTTACAACAATGTATATCAAGGAGATAGGTCTACAGTTCTCTTTCCTTCATGTGTCCTTATCTAATGTGGGGATAAGTGTGATGATGGCTTCATAGAATGAGTTTGGCAGTGTTCCTTCCCTTGCTATTTCATTGAAGAGTTTGAGGAGTGTTAATTTTCCTTCAAAAGTCTTACAGAATTTGGTCTTGGGCTCTTCCTGGAAGGTCAGTTATCGCCAATTCAATCTCATTGCTGGTGCTGGGTCTGTTTATTTGGTTTATGTCTTCCAGATACAGTTTGAATATGTATTTTGTATAGGAATATATCCATTTCTACCTGATTATCATATTTGTTGCCATAGAAGCTTTTCACCTATTTGCTTAGAATATTCTGAATTTTGCTTGCATATGTGGTGATTTCCCCCTGTAATCTCTACTATTATTTATTTGGGTAGCTTCTTTTTTTAATTAATTAATTTGGACATGGTCCTGTCAATGTTGTTAATTTTTTTCAAAAAATCATCTTTAGCATTTGTGGATTCTCTGCATTTTTTAAAGTCTGTAATTCATTTAATTCTGCCCTAAATATTTTCTTCTGTCTACTGGTTTTGGGTTTGACTTGCTCTGCTTTGTCTAGAAGCTTGAGTTGCTTCATTAGGATATTGATTTGAGATTTTTCTAATTTGTTGATGCGAGCATGTATGGATATAAATTTTACTCTGAGTACTGTCTTGCTGTCTCCCAAAGGATTCGGTCTTTTGTGTCTTCATTTACTTTGAACCCTGAAAATGATTAAATTTCACCACTTATCTCTTTGATGACCTACTGGTTCTCAGCAATAAATTACTCTGTTTCCATGAGTTTGTGTATTATCTGTGATGGAGTCTGTTGTTGAGCTCTACTTTTATTATGTTATGATATGACAAGTACAAGGTCTACATTCTTGTATATATAAGTATGAATAAATGTGTATATATGTATATGTATTTTGGTCGGTGGTGGGGCCATAAAAGTCATAATTTTTGAAATATTCCTTCTAAATTTCTATGTTCATTATGCAGGCTTATCTTCAAGACCTATCAACTTGTGTTGGCCTTGGCTTTTGCTATTGAGGAGATCAACGAAAACTCTGAACTTTTACATAACTTGACTCTTGGATCTGATATCTATAATATTTGCTTTGAAGTTTGGGAAGTATATAAGAATCCCTTCATTTGGCTCTTTGGGAAATACAAGATTCCAAACTACTCCTGCAGAAGAGACAGCAAGTCTATAGCAGCACTAACAGGACCATTAGGAATAACATCTGCCTGCATTGGGACATTGCTGGAACTCTACAGATTTCCACACGTGAAGGTGAACTTAGTGGGGAAATATAAAAACGTCTAATTAGGTGCTATTCCAGGTTTTAGGAAAGAATGATAAGAGCCTGGTGTTATGAACCTATCAAATTTGGTGGTATCAAATAGTAAGTACTCAAGGATATGCAGATTTTTATATTCCCACTCTTTGGAAAACGAGATGGAAGATGCACACAAACAAGTGGATTATTTTTTGTTTCAAGTCTAAACAATACTTTAAAAAGTCAGAAAGTGCAAAATGACTTTGAAGTGTGTAGATATGCTGGGCAGGGTACTGGTGACTCACACTTGTAATCCCAGCTGTTCTGGAATCTTTTATCCCCAATTAACCAGTAACACCAGTCAATGAATGTGTAGCTCAAATAGTAGAGCACCAACATTGAGGGCAAAAGCCAAGAAAGTGCATGAGGCCTGAATTCATGCCCTTGTACTGGCATGCATGTGCACACACACACGTGCATGTGGACAAGATTTTATGTTTAATGACATGTCAGGCTCAGAATGATAAAGGGGAGATGTGTTCTCTCATATTCAAAAGCTAGAACCAAATTATGAAGATGTCATATAAAATAAATATGGAACATGTATGTAGCCATTTCTATATATAAATATACACATGATTAATTGGACTAAAGTATGGCATATATGGGGGTAGAATTCCATGGAATAACCCTTTCTGATCTACTGAATATAAAATTATGAATACTACAAAGCTGAAGCATATCTTCTCTGAGGGGGTTAGTTGTTACTGGAAAAAGTCAGAATAACAGGGAATGGATGGGTGAAGAAACATAATATTAAATGTACATATGTGAAAATACAATTAGGAAAATCAGGGAATTGGTTGGGCTGATAGACATGGGAGTAGTTAATGGAAATGTTGACAAAGAACAAGAGACATACAAATAAATATGTATTTCATAAAAAGATTGATTTTTTTCTCTGAAACTAAAACAAAAATATACCTTTCACCTACTTCAACTGGTTCTTAACATACTTGAAGATTAAGATTGTGATGGATGGCAATCTTCTCATTCATGGAGCATCCAATTTTCTTTCCATTTAGTTTACCTTTGGGCCTTTTGATCAGGCCCTAAGTGACCATAAGAAGTTTCCTACTCTGCATCAGATGGCCCCAAAGGACACATCAATAGCCACTGCCATGGTCTCTTTACTGCTTCACTTCAACTGGAACTGGGTGGGACTGTTGACATCAAAGGATGAGAATGGTTTGTGGGTTCTTGTTAAATTGAAAGAAGAAATGGCTAAGAACAGAGTTTGCATAGCCTATGAGCTAGTGATTTCAAGCAAGTTCGTCTCGCAGTTATTCAAATTCATGACAATATATAGTCAGATAAATAAATCTTCAGCAAATGTCCCCATGTTATATGGTGATAACGAGTCACTACTAGATTTAATAATGTGCTTTGAGCAACTTGTAATAAAAGGAAAAGTTTGCATCATGAACTCACAGTGGGATTTAACCACGAGAAGGAACTATTTCATGCTAGGCTCATTCCATGTACCTCTCATTTTTTCACACCATCATGCAGATGTTTCTGGATTCACAGATTTTATTAAGGCAGTTAATCCTTCCAAATACCCAGAAGACTTTCTTCTTGCTAGGCTATGGTTTGTGTCTTTTAATTGTTCAGATTCTGAGTCTGACTGTGTAACATGGGACAATTGTCTTCATGATGCCTCTTTGGATTGGTTGCCTGGGAATATTTTTGACAAGACTGTGTCTGGAGACAGTTATAATGTATACAATTCTGTGTATACTGTGGCCCAGGCTCTCCATTAGATTCTTCTTCATCAAACAGAATTTCAAACAATGGGAAGTAGTAAAGAAACAGTGCCTTCCCCTGCACAGGTAATTTCTTCTATATTTCAGTGCATACACCATGAGCAAAGACACTTCCTAGAGGGTTTCTTAATGTATAAAATTAAATATTTCAGATGTTTTTCAAAACCTAGTAAATTATGGGTGAAATTTTGGTGAGGAACTCTACACATGTGTTCATTGCTCTTAAGAAAAAACAGGCCAGGTCAGTGACGGGATACAATATAAACTACTGAGAATACACACATACATACATAGATTCATATATATATACATATACATATGTATATTCACACACATACACATATACATACATACATACATGTATTTCATATTTAGTGTTAGAAACCAGAAAGATATATTTTTGCTTGTCTTGGAGCTTGAGTTTAGGGCCTGGATGCTGTTTCTGTGTCTTTTTGTGCTCAAGGATAGTGCTCTACCACTTGAGCCACAGCTGTACTTCTGTCATTTTCTGAGTGGTTTATTGAAGATAAGTGTCTCATGGACTTTTTTCTCTGGCTTGGCTTCAAATCATGATCCTCAGATCTTAGGTTCCTGAGTAGCTAGGATTACAGGTGTGAGCTACCAACACCTAGTTTATGAATTCATTTAGTTACAAATAACTTTAACATGTTCATAGTTACTGTTTTCAAAAGTGTAAATTCAGCTTTTCCCTAAATTATTTCAGTAATTGCAAAGGATGACCTACCAAACAGTATTTTTAATCCATATTTTTCATAAGTCATCTAATTTCATTTAATTTTGGCATAAAAATTTAGCAAGCTCAAATAATAATTCATAAAAACAATGGAGGTTGGTAACAGAAAAATTGTCTTATTCATGCCTATTTGCCTGGTATTGATTTCTCCATTAAAAGGCCTTCTACTCCTTTTCTGAGTGACAAGGATTCAGGACGGTTATTTATATTCCTCCATGGATTTTCTTCCGGAATACTTCATTGCTGTCTGTGCTATTCTAGAATTCAGAATTGGAGATTAAAGGCAACCAGGAGCTTTTCTTTACCATACAATGATGCATCTCTTTTAGTTGCACCTTTTTATAAAGAACATACAATTTTACAATCCTGCTGGAGATGAAATGATTTTGGTTGAGAAAAGAAAATTAGAACCAGAGTATGACATTCTGAACAGTTGGAATTTTCCAGAAGGTCTTCAACTTACAGTGAAAGTAGGAAAGTTTTCTCCATATGCTCTGCATGGTAATCAACTCTCTTTATCTGAAGATATGGTAGAGTGGGCCATACGTACTATGGAGGTGAGTTGGATCTAATAATAATGACTTTAAGGACGTACATATAAGCAAAATTTACCCTTGAAATTTATACCTGATTGAGTGCTAGCTTTCTACCATAATGCTAGCAAATCAGATATCTGTGATGTGAACATCACGGTTTAAAGTCAGTCCAAACAGGAAAGTTTGGACTTATCTCCAATTAACCACAAAAATCTGGAAGTGGAGCTATGACTAAACTGCTAGAGTTCTAACCTTGTTCAAAAACTGAAGGCCAGTGCCCTGAATCAGCACCAAACACATTACATGTGTTTGTAAATATTGACTTATCATATTATCATAAAATAAAAAATTGTACATTTCGTATTGGTTCCTAACACTGTGATAAAGTACATGAAAAATCATTTTATGTGGTTAGGATGTTTCTTTGCTCTCTTGTGTCTATGGAGGTTTCATTCAATTGATAACTGATCTGCTAATTGGGCATCTTTGGTGAGACTAATTGAATATGACTGTGAGAAGATTGTGTGTTCATGGCCACTGGAAAATGAAGAGGAAGATATAATGGTTCTGGGGTTCACACAACACTCTAAAAGGGATATCTCCTTCTTGCTCGTCACCATGTCACAGATAAGTAGGAGACAGAATATAATGACATGAATTCAAGGAAATTCTATAGGGATCTACATTGGGACTTACTTTCTCACCATAAGTTTCTACCTTTTAAAGATCCCATACTTTTCAATAGTTCAACAGGTTAGAAATAAAAGTTGTAGCACAAAAGCCTTTTGGAATCATGACATATGGTTTTGATAACAGAATTTAATTAATCACCTTCACTTACCTGCATAGAAACATTATTATTATTTTTTAATTTAATTTTATGTTTTTGGGAACGTTCTGTACAGAGGGGTTACAATTACATGGGCAGGATAATGCGTGAATTTCTTATCAAGTATTGCAGCCTCCTCCTTTGTTTACCCTTCTCATCCCTTCCTAGCCTCCCCCCCACCCCCCCAATCTTCCCTCCCTCCCCCCCTCCCCCCGCACCAACGTTGTAAAGTTTGTTTTCGACATGACAACTTGTACTTCTCATTGTTGCAACAGGTTCAACTGTATCCTTAAACGACTTGTTTTTCCCCATCTCCTCCACAAGTTATACCGACATCAAATATAGTGAAAGCAGAGGTTATACTGTGGGGGAGGGACATACAAAGAAACAAAGAGATAATCTTATAAATGCAAGAAACATTATTTTTATTAATACAATTCTTTAAAACAATGGACTTTTTGGAGTGTTAGTTACTGACACAGACCTGATTTTCCTCAGACTCCTCACTCTCCCTGCAGTGAGAGTTGTGGTCCTGGATTCAGGACATCTCTTCAAGAGGAAAAGGCTGCTTGTTTTTTTGATTGTAATCTTTGCCCAGAGAATGAGATTGCTAATGGAACAGGTAAGTCCATGACTTATGAAGAAATTGTTCATCTCTCCTTTGTTTTCGTCAATCCAAACATGTCAGTACCCAGAACTGCTCATGACAATTAGCAAGAGCTCAGAAAAGGGGGATTCCATTTAAGAAGGGAGCATGAATATAGTGTCCAAGAGTGGTTTCTCTTTTCTTAAATACTCACAGATTAGTTGGATAGATCAATATAATGAAATGAATTCAAGGACGTTGCCACAGGAACAAAATTAATCTTTTTCAGAGATGTGTAGGGAATTGAAAGCTGCATTATTTACAATTTTCAATAGGATTGCAGAAATCTGCACAATTCTAACTGTTAGTGTGAGCAAAAGTGTAGAAAATTGTTATTAGGATATTAGAATACTCCAAATAGCACCTTATCAGTACTTGTGATAACACTTGAAGGAAAAAAAAACTGAACAAAAAAAGCCTCAATACTGAAAAAGGTGCAAGGGGGAAGATCTTATGGTTTAGCAAAGAAACAAAAATGATTTTTTGCCAGTCAGTGCTGGCACTATGGTAGATTATGTTAGGATTACACCTAAGTAAACAATTTGCTAATACCTTTGATGAAAAGGAAGTTCAAACCAAGAAGTAATTGTACTTTACACTTCTTATCAGATATGAACCAGTGTGTGAAGTGCCCAGATCATCAGTATGCTAACACACAGAGAACACAGTGTCTCCTGAGAGCTGCAAGTTTCCTGGATTTTGGAGACCCCTTGGGCATGGCTCTGGCCTGCATGGCTCTTTGCTTCTCTATGCTCACTGCTGTTGTTCTTGGGATGTTTGTGAAACAGCATGACACTGCCATTGTCAAGGCCAATAACAGGGCTCTCAGCTACATCCTACTCATCTCTCTTATCTTCTGTTCCTTGCTGTTTCTTGGCCGACCCAACACAGTCACCTGCATCCTGCAGCAAACTGCCTTTGGAATTGTGTTCACTGTGGCTATTTCCACAGTGTTGGCCAAAACAGTGACTGTGGTTCTGGCCTTCAAGGCCACTTCCCCAGGGAGAAGGATGAGATGGCTGCTGGTCTCAGGAGCTCCTAACTTCATCATCTCCATCTGCACCCTCATCCAGGTGACTCTGTGTGGACTCTGGCTGGGAACTTCTCCTCCATTTGTGGATACAGATGCACACTCTGAACATGGTCACATCATCATCCTATGCACCAAGGGCTCCCTCACTGCCTTCTGGCCCTTGGCTTTCTGGCCCTGTCTAGCTTCACCATGGCTTTTCTGGCCAGAAACCTGCCTGACACCTTCAATGAGGCCAAGTTCCTGACCTTCAGCATGCTGGTGTTCTGTAGTGTGTGGGTCACTTTCCTGCCTGTCTACCACAGTGCCAAGGGGAAGGTAATGGTGGCTGTGGAGGTCTTCTCCATCTTGGCCTCTGGTTCAGGGCTCCTAGGCTGCATTTTTGCCCCAAAGTGTTACAACATCTTGTTAATGCCAAATAGAAATTCTCTGCATGACTTTAGGGATAAAAGACATAGTAGAAGAAATAAGCCTTCTTAAGAGTGAGCTCATATGTTTGATTGGTATATAGATGGCCTGATCTAAATCTCTATCAACTTTCCATTGTCATATTTGTTTGTATGATGAGGTTTTTACCTCAGTGAATAAAGGCCAGTAGTTTCTTTTTCTAGTAGTGGTATTCTCAAGCAGCGGCGATCACCTAAAATGAATTATTTCTCATATACTTTTGGTTCTTCCTTTTTATTCTGCACTCAATCCTATTATGCCCTCTTGATGGTGTCTTTTCACTATTGTCTTTCTCACTCATTTTTCTAGATTTTTAGGTATACTAAATTCCTGTCTGCACACTACCATGTTTCAGAATCCTCTAGTTCATTTCCTTACATTTTTCTCTTTACAAAGTTTCATCTTTTTATATTATCCTTAGAGATTGTTTTGTTTAATATTAATACTATTACTGATACTATTCCAATCACATATTTTACTTTCCCAATAATCCCATAATCTCCTTCACAGGAAGTTTCTCTCTGTCTCTTTCTCAGTCTGGCCTTTGGCCACTTTCCTCTTTTCCTCTCCTGCTCCTTCCTCACTGTTCTTTCCTCCTAAGGTTTTTGGAACGGATTACATAAGGTATAAAAATGCAATTAATTTAATATTACAATGTTAAATTATATTTTTATTTTTCTCTAAAAAGTAATGTTTGTGATGCATAGAAATTTTTTCTTCTATGGCTGGTGATACCTTTCAATTTATTATTGTTGAATCATTATTAACATTTGTTCTTGTAATTTCATCACTTCCTAATAAAACATAAATGTTGAAACATGGACATCTTTACCTGTCACATTTCAAATCTCTTAAATTGATAAGGAAAGCATTACTTATTGCATCAACTAGGTTGACTTAGTAGGTTCTATACTATCTTTACATAATCACATATTTAAGACATATAAACACAATAACATCCATATCTCATCTTTCCAGTGTTTATTACATATTTCTTCTGATATTAATGAAATTCATGTGTATATGCTTCAACTCTAGTTTAGACTGTCCCTTAGCTTTTTCACTTAAGGCTGCTTTACCACTAGAGCCACAGGTACATTTATAGCTCTTTGGTCTTTAATTGGAAATAAGAGTCTCAGGCATTTTCCTGCCCAGGCTAACTTTGAAACACTTCTCACATTTGCATTTCTAGTAGATAATGACTGATGAGAGGTTTCTATTAGTTAAATTTTTCTTGAAAATATAACAGTGTATTGGTAAAAAAAATTGTGTATGTGTTCTTTTGAGGGCATGCTGTCTAACAAATAAAAATGTAATTAGATTTCCAACTTCCTTAGCATGTTAACAAATACATGATCAAAATATGCATCAGTTTTTATTGAATTTTTGTCTATTTCCTTTATTAATTTTAGGAATTCCATTAATTAGATTGAGTTTATATTATTGAGTAAACTTCTGAATCCTCATTTTGTGATGTGAAGTTTTTGGGAGAATATTTGATGTTAGTGCTTTTGTATAGTATTTTGTGTTCCTTGCTAATTTCTTCTTAGTTGAAATTTCAGTAAACTTACACAACACATTTTATCTTTAATGAATTAATGAAGAGAATGAACACATGGATGTCTTGATGTTTTGAAGCAAGAGTGAATGGATGTCAGGCATGGAGGAAGTTAATAGCACATAAAAGAAAAGTTCATGGATAAATAATATGATAGAGACAGGAAGAAGGGCACAAGGAAAATGTACCTTTATAATGTTTTGTTACAATAAAACTTTAACCATAAAAAATAGGTGGATGTGGGTCATGAGTCATGGCTCTCTTATTGTGTGTGTGTGTGTGTGTGTGTGTGTGTGTCTGTGTAGGGTGGTTAATGACAAATGATATATGAAAAATTTTTATCAAATTTTATGTTGTTTGCAAAAGGTTTAGGTATATTGTATCAAAATGTTGGGGATTTCATATGCTTGGAGGCCATTAAGATAGCTTAAATATTTTAGTGGAAATAAAAGTTTTGGACAAAGATGTGTCTGACCAAAAGACTTTATGAGCCCATTTAAAGCTCTCATACTAAAACCCAATTTAACCATATACACTAGCAAAAATTTAAAGTAATACAAAAAATTAAAAGTCAATACACTTAGAGTTTGAAAAATAACTTCTGCTGTTCCAAAACTAATTTTTAATCCACTAAGGTAAAGGAAACTTCCAGGCACTGTTTTTCTCCTGCCTTATTCCTAGCTAATGAGGAGACTGAGATCTGTCAATTCTAATTTCCATTTCGTTCACTCTGTTAACTTTGGCTTCCATGTGCTTTGCATAGAGGAAATTGAGCCACTTATGGCTTCTATGTCCTCAGAGTATTCATCTCAATTCTTAGCAAGGTGTGTACTGCATCTATTTTTGCTTGCATCCCCTGTTTGAAATCCTGCATCTTTTTTTTTTTTTTTTTGGGTTCCGGTCGTGGGGCCTGAACTCTGTGCCTGAGCGCTGTCCCTGAGCCCTTCAGCTCAAGGCTAGCACTCTACCACTTGAGCCACAGCGCCACCTCCGGCTTTTTTCTTTTTGCTTATGTGGTGCTGAGGAATCGAACCCAGGGCCTCAGGCATGCAAGGCAAGCGCTCTACCACTGAGCTACCTTCCCAGCCTAATCCTGCATCTTTTTTGATACTTCGTTTCTATGTTCTTTAAATTTCTGATCTATTTCTCACTTTAATTTTTGAGTCATTGCCTCCAGCATCTCTTGTTTTCCTTTCCTGCTTTTCTTCCACTGGGCCTCTCCCCTGGCTGGCTGCTGGCTTTTAGGGGTAGCTTGCTATCCTGGGCATTTCCTGTAATTTTTCTCTGTGATTTTTCTTATGGGGAATTAAGGGATTCTTGGGGACTAATCAGAAACTCTGACTGTTTCGGTTAACAAGTGGCAGTCTTTGCTTGGTTCTGGGTTGGTTCCTGGATCAATTGATGAAGCTTCTTCTTGGCCTTGGGCTGGCTGAGACAGTCTGTACCTGGTCTCTGTTCTGTTGGGGGAGAGGCTGACCAGCAGATGGTAGTCTGACCCACATAGGGCTCTCAACTGTCTGCTGGAGATCACAGGCAGTTCCTGCCTTTAGCCAAGGACTGAGCAGCCTAGACTACTCATGCTTTCTCCTATGGGTGCTTTTGGTGAGACTGGGGGTTCTGGATATACTCTCCCATTTGCTGGTTTCTGCTATGAGTTCCTTCCTGACTATAATCAGGTGCTGGCAGCCTGAGCTGACCCATCCCCAGCCTGGGATATAGAAGTCAGGCTCTGGTGGGATTTGGGCTTCTAGTTCTCCTGCCCTGGACACACATGTCTTTTGCCATTCTGGGCACAATTCCCAGGGGGTGTGGTTCCCTGCTGTACCTCTCTGCAGAAACTTGTGCTCTGCTTCTGATTTTAACCAGGATGGGTGTGTTGTACAGCTCAGGCACCGGATCCCCAGTACTGGCTGGCTTCCAGTCTCTTGCCTGGGGCATGCCAATTGGGCCTGTGTTGCTGGGTATGATCCCAGGGTACTCAGCTGGGGTATGCAGTTTGGATTTTTCCCCTTGCTTGCTGCTGTGTCCTGTGGGCCTGTTCCTGGCTTGGTCATTCAAGCTCCCTCCCAGGGATGATATTGATCAATCCTGGAGGACTAAATATGCTCCACAGGCTGGTGGGACACTTTAACAGTTCCCAGTTTTAGTGGGACCTGTAGTTCAGGTGGTGGCAGGGCTGGTTTCCCTTGGGGGGATGCTGGCCCCTGTGGCGCACTCACCCTGGAGCTAGTTGGGAACTCTCCAGTGGTGCTGTTGCAGATTGCTATTTCTGTGTGATGTAGGTGGCTAGTTGCCACTGTGCTCTGTGTTTGGTTGAGATGCTGTGGACTAGGCTGTGTGGTGGCCATTCTGGGTCTGTGCTTCTTACCTTCTCTGCCTCTGTTGATGCTGTCCTTGTCAGTGCTGCAAGCGTTTTTTGAGCTGGCTGCTGGCTGAGGGGTGGAGGAGGGGGCTTCAGTCCTGTTCTGAGCTCTGAAGTTTCTGTCTCTGTTTGCACTCTGTGTGGGCACCAGCACCTTGGGAGTCTTCTGCACTGGTTTTCTGTGTACGACCCCTGAAGTTCTGGGGTTCCCCCTTTAGCTTTGAGGCCCAGTGGTTTTGGCGGGATGGGGCTTCAGCGCTCTGGTTAAAGGTGGGGGAAGGATCTTTGTGCAGGTTCCAAGCTCTGAGATTTCTGTTTGAAATTAGCAGGTCCAGCCCAGGCACCTTGGGTGTGTTTTGTGCTGGTGATCTGCAGACGACCCCCTGTGGCTTTGTGGTCTCTGGCAGCCCCCTGCCGTGCTGGGCTGGCCACGGTTTGGTGGTTTGGTGCATTGCTGTGCAGCAAGCAAGGGTTGGTGGAAGGGTCTTTGTGCTTTTCTCTTTTCTTCCCGCCCGCCCTCCCGCCCCGCCCTCCCTCCCTCCATCCCTCCCTCCTTCCCTTCCTTCTTTCTCGCTTTCTTTCTTTCTCTTTCTTTCTTTCTTTCTTTCTTTCTTTCTTTCTTTCTTTCTTTCTTTCTTTCTTTCTTTCTTTCTTTCTTTCTTTCTTTCCTTTCTTTCTTCTTTATTTCTTTCTTTCTTTCCTTCCTCCTTCCTCCCTCTCTCCCTCCCTCACTCCCTTCGGCCTTCCTTCCTTCCTTCCTTCCTTCCTTTCTTTCTTTTTTCTTTCTTTTCC